TCATGAATTGTCTGAAAACAACCTCAAATCCTGAGTTGACATCTGCACTTCTCTCCATTCTCGCCAACTTGTTTCACCTTTTTTGGACTTGTGACTGGCGACGAAAATGATCTTTTATCAAAATGTTAAGCGTCATAGACAGTGGCTTGGTAAAGGGGAAGGACCCCAGCCACAGCCGAGAAGGGAACTTCATGAGAAAAAGGTTCTTCTTTCAATCTGGTGGGATCGCCAAGGAATAATCCACTTTGAATTCTTACCACCTAATGCAACAATTAATGCTCAAATATACTGTCAGCAATTAGAGCGTTTGAACCAAGGTTTGAGGAAAAAAAACCTGCTCTAGTGAATCAAAAAGAGGTGATGTTTCATCAGGACAATGCGTGACCCCACACAGCAAGAATCACGTCAGAAAAGATCGAAGAATTTGGTTAGGAGAAAATTCCTCATCCACCTTATTCTCCTGATCTTGCTCCTTCAGACTACCATTTGTTATCGTAGCTTACAGAATCATTTGGAAGAAACAGCTTTTGTAACACAGGAAGAGGTTAAAACTGACATTTGTGAGTTCTTCGAATCAAAGCCAAAAGAATTTTACAGTAATGGAATTAGTAAGCTTGTTAATAGATGGAAGGAAGTCATAGATAATCAGGGAAAATACATTGTTGATTGAATCTGTAATTAAATGTAACATTTGGTCACTTGTTTTCTTTATTCAAAATTCGAACAGAACTTATGGGATGACCTTATATATATATATATATATATATATATATATATATATTTTGTTTTTCTTGTTTGCTTCAAATTGCCATTTTTGGTAATTATATCTTTTTCCCTATATTACATTTCCTCTCATTTTAACAAATATGTCTACTTTTATGGCTTTAATTACATTATGTAGCCCCAAAATTATCTAAAAGGAAATAACAGAGATAGAGAGTGAAAGCATTTTAAAATTATTATTAAATAGGTTGAATGAATAGAAAAACAAACTGAAACTATAACAAGCATGACTTCTGAATATTTTTGGATTTAATGAGTAAAACTTACTTGTAAATTGTTCTAGTAATTTTTAAAGCTTTTAAGCTTTCCTTTAAGTAATTCTAAGTAAATAAAAATTGTTATAGAACTATCCAAGAAACAAATCAGCACATTCTGTCTATAAGAGTCAATAATTACTTAGACAGGGTCTGCTTTGAACTATTTGAAATCTTCCCTTTGTTCTACACAAGATTTGCTTTAAAAATCTTGCTTACAGAATATTTCTCCATTTGAAATTGAACAGTAAAAACAGCTTCATAGAATAAAAAAAAAACTATATTGTAAGAGTAATTTATATCTTATCAAGTGTTAGGATATATATATATATATATTTTCGAAACGAGTCTAGTTATCTATATTTATATGTGTGTGTATATATATATATATATATATATATATATATATATATATAAAAGGCTCAAACACTAATATTCCATGGTTATAATTTATTACATTGAATCATAATCATGATCCAGTTCATCAGACCTTGAATTTATAGGTCTGATGAATTGATTGTGATTACAATTCCAATGTAATAAATTATAATCATGGAATATTAGTGTTTGAGCCTTTTATATATCCTACTCTGTCCTGGACATTGAATTCTAGCTGGATTCTATCCTCTTGGTGTAATATATATATATATATATATATAAATAAATATAACTAACTAGACTCGTTTTGAAAAACCCTTGAATTTTTGATTTGTTAATCAAATCAATTTCGAGGGAAAAAAAGGTTTTAAAAAAAAGAAAGAGCTACAAACATAAACTTCTGCTGACAAAAAATCGCACAGATGCAGGTCTGAAGCCCAAAGAAAAACCCCGATACGAGTAACAACTAACTAACAAAAGAGCTCAATACAATTGTAGAGCAAACCTAGATACACCTAGTGAGCCAGACAAACCTACCTAGGTTTCACCTAAACGGATCGTCAGGGATATATTTGATATATATATATATATATCAAATAAATAAACGTATGTGAAAGTGTTCACATGCAAATATATCCTTTGGTGTAAATAAAATAGTGCTCAATGGAGAATAACAGAACTACTAAGTATATATTAATAAATATACATCATACCCCACACCAACAATACAACTCGTAGTTTCATGCACAATGCAATCATCTAGTAAAAAAGAATTGTTCACAATCTGGTTAATATTTCTGGGTCTTGCAGTTTCACAGTGTTGGATAAATTTTCTATTGTTAAATATTTAATTGCATAATAATCTAAATTTAAATTTAGGTTTAAACTTAATTAATCTAGGTCAACATGCTGAGTTGGTATTTGTTTCTAGGTATGCATGAGATCATAGCTCACTTCTGTTTTAAATTAGGTTTATCCATATATTTTTGAATCATTAGTTTTTCTGAAAGACATAAATTACATTCATCGCCTTTTCCGCTGAAGTGTTTGGCTTTTACTATGTAATACCAGGTGATAGTTGGGTTTCTATTCTTGCTTTTTATTTTCCAGAAAATTTAGAGAGGACAGGACTGTTACTATATTTAATATTGCCTAATATCATTTGGTGATGGTAGAAATGAGATTTCCAATGGTTTTAAGTTGAACCAAAATAGAATTTGACCTCGTCATCATGTTTGATGTTAGCTCTATAAATTATACCTTTAGTCATGCAATTGCCATTCAGCAAGCAGGTTTTGTTTTTTCAGCAGTTGTAATCTTTAATTGTGGGGGTGTATTTATCTTGTAGGTTGGTTAAGTGCTTGTTTAGTATAATGTTGTTGTGCTGTGATATATATCGACCCAGATTAATATAGTTTTTTCACATTCAGATACCACTTATACTAGTATTATTGTTGATATTATTACTATATTATTATTAATATTGTTAATATTATTATATTATAATAATATCTTTATTATTACTACTATGACCTATCATTAATATTATTATCTATTATTAATATTATTACTCATTATTATCGATATTACTATTATCATTAAGTTATTACTATCTTTACTATTATTATTTTATCACTGCATAACTATTGTTTTATTATTATTTTATCATTACTTATCTATAGGTTTTTTAAATCGCCTACCCTTGCAAAAAGAAAAAAGAGTTACATCTGCCTCCCACTTAACATTTTTCGCCTGCATTCTGAATTTAGAATCCAACTAACACCGCGAAACCATAAAACCCAGAAATATTAATCAGATTGTGAATAGGTCTTTTTGTGCCTGATGATTGCATAGTGCAGTGTGCACTGTTGGTGTGGGGCATTATATATATATATATATATATATATATATATATACACACACACACACACTGGGTGTAACAGCATAATTATCCATCCCACAAAATGTTTAATATCTAAAAAGCCACTAAATTAAATGAATTTCTTTTTTCCAGGTTTTCAGATAAGATGTTTAGCTATATTGACACCATTTTTCATAAAAATCACTGAAAAACCTTTTGAGTTATTCAGCTAAAAAGAAAAAAAGATTAAAATTTTGTGTCAGCCCCATGTCTTCCCAAATGAGCAATGGTGAGAAGAAAAAGATCATTCAGGTCTTCAGTAATGGTATCAGCATTCATACTCTGGTTTCCATCTTTAAATTGCATTTAAAAACTATCAAGAGAATGGTGAATAAGTTTAAAAAAGAGGGAACCTTAGAGAGAAAAATTGGATCAGGAGGTCACAACAGGAAGCGGGATCATCATTTCAACTTAGAGCTAAAGAGATCAATTAGAAAAGATCCAACTCAATCCATAAAATGTTTAGTATGTGAGAGAGAAGTTTCAGCTATGACAGTTCAAAGAGAAGTGACAAAAGACTTGAAAATGAAATTGTACATGAAACTTGCGAGGCACCTTGTTACTCTAGTACAGAAAGTTAGGTTATAGAAGGCGAAGATCATCTTGAATAAATTGTAAAATGATCCTGGAATAATATATATATATATATATATATATATATGATCAATTTTATCACAATTCTTCTGTTAAGCTTGGATAGTAATTATACATTCTTATTGCTCAAAGTTGAGTTTAATAGTGTTATGAAAACCTTGAAGAATTCCAGTAAGATAATTTTAATAATTTTTAAGATACAACAATTCAGAGTTTAATCTAACAATTGGACAATTTTGCTGTTACACCTGTGTGTGTGTGTGTGTGTGTGTGTGTATATATATATATATATATATATATACTGCGTGCCAAATTATTATCAAGATAACTTTTTTTCTAATATTTCAAAAACCGTCTAATCAATTCACACAATGTTGGCAACACTGACCTACATGAATCACTGAAATTTTAGTCGACTGATTCTGGTAATGTAAACAAACTGGCGCCATATTTATTATGAGCACGGTGATTTGAGCGTGCCAAATTATTAGAAAGGTTTAGTAAAATTCCCAGAATTGAGCACACAAAACGTTTATTAATGTTGCCCTTTGAATGTTTATGATCAAAAGAAGCTAATAAATAAGATAATTAAACAAATAATAACAGATACAAATTGATTGTACGGTTTTTGAAATATTAGAAAAAAAAGTTATCTTGATAATAATTTGGCATGCAGTGTGTGTATATATATATATATATATAAGCAAATATATTGATATAGATCCGACAGTATGAAGAAAAATATACTGAAAAAACAAACAAAAATCCTAATATGTGATTAGGCTGTTTTAATGTTTAATGTCAACGTTGAACGTTTTGGTCTAATAGACCATCTTCAGGACATAAAACATAATTAACATAGACCATATACAATTCAACATGAAAAAGACGATGGACATAAAAACATTAAAACAGCATAATCGCATATTAGGATTTTTTTTTTTTTCAGTATATTTTCTTCATATATATATATATATATATATATATATATATATATATATATATATATATTCCATTAAGCAAAGTACATTCAAATTTCCTCAAGGGATAATATTAAACAGTTGATTGACCTGTGACAGAACAGTTGGTGCAAGTTGTTCTGTGTCCCCAACTAGGATAAGTTTGCAGCAGTTGTACTGTAGTGGAATCAAACAGTCCAACTCTGTACACTGGGAAGCCTGCAAAGAGAAAAGATAAGAATTCAAATATATTTTCAGAAATATCATATATTATCAAATCATTGACTTTTTAATGTAGCTTTCACAAAAAGCTTTTTTATGGCAAGATAAGTGCCATTTTATATTTTTATTTCTTTACAACAAAATCATTCAAAAGTATGTGCTGTTTTTTATAACTAAGAACAAAAAACAGCAAAAAATTATCTAATTTTATGACATTTCGATAAAACTTAAACTGAGGCATAGATTATGAAATCCATTTTACAAAACATATTAGAAATAGTAAAAAAAGTATTTAAAAGAAATATATTTACAATTTGGGTTTTATAATTTATATCTTTTAAAAATTTGAGCAGAGTTTTCGCCCTCGAAATCCAAATGAGTGAATAACAATATTCAAATTATTTTAATGTTTATTATAGAAACTAAAATATATTATTTTAATAATGTGATTATTTATAGTGAAAGCATTTATAAAATGTATGCCTAGAAAATAATGGCGTAAATAATAGCCTACAATTTGGATTGCTAACAAAAAGAAATTCCAGGTAAGCGAAAGAAATCTTACTTCATCAATGATGATACAGTCAAACATCTGAAATTTGAGATCATTGAGGTAAAGAGAACTACCACAAGTATTTAATGTGCTGCATATAACATCTGCTTTCAACAATATATTTTGACGAAGTTCTGTTTCCTGCTTATGACTGAGGTTTGATGCTTCGCTCACCTATTGAAAAAAAAAAGAAAAGAAAAGGACCATTTTCAAAATTATAGTGTAGAAAGGACTTTCTAAACATTTCTAACATCATCAGTCTTGCAATTATTTTTTGATGAACTTATTTTCATTTAAATAAAACTATAAAAAAAAAACATTGAAGGAAACAAAGTATTCTTTCAATGATATAATTTTCCATTAAACTGAAGACATCAAATGGATCAATTTTTTCTTTATTTCAATTAAAAATTGAAATAAAGAAAAATTTGATCCATTTGAAAATATTTCTGAAATATTATTTTTTTTTTTATTGATAATCATTCTCAGTCATTTAATATATAAGCATATTCTATTCATTAAAATCTACACAGCTGTCTTGTATATATAAAATTTTTAACTGTTACTAAATTTTAAGACTTTTCTATCTCAATAGAACTATTGAATTCCCAAAGTTCACTTCTACATGCCTAAAAGTTTTGTTAGAAATAACCATTTTTTTTTTGTCACAGTATTTTTTTATCTGCTTTCATTAAATTGGGAGATTAAATAGAAACTTCTTAATTTCAAATTTCCAAAGTTTTATTTAATGGCCAGAGAATGGGTTAACTAAAAATTATTGAGATAAAGAGCAACAAAATAAATAAAAACTAGTCAAAGGATATATTACTAAAAAAAACTTCATGTCCAAAATCAAAAACAAGATAAATCCTAAATTTAGTTAATAGTGAATAGAATAAAATGGATGTTGATATTAATTCAAAAGCATAATGACACACAAGTAACATATATGAGATATTCATTTCTTGCAGATTACCTGACAAATATACTTAGCATATGAAAGAATTTGTAAATTGACACGCAATTAGAATATTTACTCAAAAACATTAATTACCACAAGAAAAGAAACATCAAGTTCAACATTAATGATTTTTTTTTAACTGTTCCAATATCTATAAATTTGGTAATGCTCAGGAGATAAATTTTAATCATATAACAAAGAAACATCAAGAAATTCTCCAATATTCATAGCCTACACACACACATATATATATATATATATATATATATATATATTATTTAGGCAGCAATTTTTCATTGATGCATGTTTCATTAAATAATATAGACAAGTTTTGTCTATTTATTTTATGTAAATTCTTTTCATATCATCTGATAAGCAATAACATCATTAAAAGAAAAAGAAAATCACAATATTGATACATATTTTAATCCAATCAAAACTTTTGGCTTAAACATAAGCCATTATCAAAGATGACAATTACATTACAATATATTAAAACAATACACGGACAAAACAATAATGATAGTCTTTTTATTCACATATTAAATATTGATTTCCAAGCAAATTTGACAGACTCATTACAAATGAGACGCTGGGGAGAAGAATCATTAAATAATTGAGTTGGATATACTCATTTTTGATCTTTGATACATGACCATGCAAGAGTGAAAATGAGAAGTATTAACATTAATATTATTTAATCCATTGGAGATACAATCTCCTAAAGGGCACTTGAATTTGTAAACTATGTTGGTTTTTTGCAAATCGCTAACCGGGGGGAGAAGAATCATTATGAATAATTGAGTTGGATATACTATTTTGTCATCTTTGATAATGACTTATATTATATATATATATATAAAGCTTAGATAGGATTAAAAATATGTATCAATATTATGATCTTTCTTCTTTAATGATAATGTTATTAAGCTTATCAGACGATATGAAAAGAATTTATATAAAATAAATAGACGATACTTGTCTATATTATTTAATGAAACATGCATCAATATATATATATATATATATATATATATATATATATATATATATATATATATATATATATATATATATATATATAAACAAAATAAACGATGATTAGTGTTGATGTCCAAACTATCATTACTCACAGAATTAGTGAGGCACTAGACAACAAATACACCCTAAGGATCATAGCATTAGATATTTCAAAGGCCTTCAACAAGGTGAGCCATTGAAAGTTTGCTGCTCAAGCTCTCTAGCTATAGAATCACTAGAAATGTCTTCTCAATAATAAAGTCCTTCCTAATGAGTAGGGCTCTGAAAGTAGTTGTTAATGGCCAGTTCAATACAGGCATCCCCCAGAGGGTCTTCTTCTCAGACCAACACTCTTTTTACTCTACATAATGATCTACCAAAGAGTATACTCTACGCTGATGATATGATGATATATACGTGCACCTTCAAAACTCTAGATAACCAGAGATTGGCAGCTGATTTCTTCTCCGATCTATGGGGAAAAAACCGGCTGGTCACATTTAACACCTTGAAAACCAAACTAGTTACATTCCATCATCACTGATAGGACTCCAAACTACCACCAGTCACAATGAATGGATGCCCCCTCAGCGAGAACCCATGCTTTGAATGATTATTGGCCCTTAAATTCACCACAGATCTCAAGTGGAACATACATACCATCCATCACTAAAGATGCAGGAAAAGTGGTTGGTTTCTTGTACTGCTCCAGTAAGTTTCTGACACCTCATGCTATCTTTACAAGAGTCAAATCAAACTTAAAATGGAGTACTGTTGTCATATTTGGACAGGAGCTGCCCTGTACTTACTTTCCAGTCTCAATAGAGTCCAAAAATGTTTCTGCATCCTCATGGGTGATAGATTATTTCCCACCCTGCAACACCTCTCTCTCACAGATGGGATGTGGTAAGCCTCTAACTGCTCTATTGTAAATTCCATGGAAAGTGCTTGGGCAAACTACATTCCTTTGTTCCACTAAGTTCTAATATTTATACCTAGGACCTGCCATGCCACTCACAACACACCACTCATTCCCTCCATATTCTACTGGTGAGAAGCAAGTTCTACTCAAGCAGCTTCTTCCCATGACCCACTGCTCTGTGGAACCAACTCCCAAGAGGATGTTTCCCCAATCAGTACAATCTTAACCTGTTCAAATCTAGAGTTAACCATTATCTTCCCCACCTATCTGCATAAACTGTGCTTCTTACTCTGTAACCCTTAACCTTGAGTGGCTCCCGGTCCTTTCACAGGATGAACCACACTGTTTAAAAAAAGAAAAAAAAGTTACTTACTGACTGAGCAAGATCAAATTGTTTTGTTAGAAATTTCTTTTTTTCTTGCAAATTTCTCAAGTCTTTCATTAACTTTCGTTTCTGAAATGAGGAAAAGAGAACATTACATTTTAGTTTATTATCAAATGTTTTGTTGAAATTGATTTCCACTTTGCCAATATGTTAATTGTAATATTTCCAAGCAGTTTTTAAATATACATTAGATATTTTGCCGTTATAAATCCATTGTTCATCAATAATATCATCTAAAATGATTAAATTAAAATGACACTGGTATAATTAAGAGATGTTACCTCAGTCTCAGATCATTAATAATGAAACAAGAGAGAAAGAAAATACATTGTTTTTTTTGTTTCCTTCAATTCAGAGCTTTTAAAAAAAAATGAAAGAAATCAATTTCATTTCATTTATTTGATGAGATTATTAAAATACCAATAGTTTGTAAAATTTAAAGAAAGAAAGAATTGTTCTGAATCAATATAAATAAAATGATCTGCCAGATGGTTTCTCACCAATGCAATATTTTTGTGCTATGACTAAAGAATAATACAAATCATTCAAAGGCGAAAAATAAGAAGAACAAGCATCACAAACTGTATTAAAAAGATCATCACATCGTTGAATCATTCAGTTATATTGGACAGTTAAAGATTTCCAGACACTAATAATTGCTGTTGCTGTAAAACCTTTGAGAATAAAATATGTATATTAGTTAAGACCATCAAAACCAAATTCTGACTAATTTAACCTTAAAACATCGAATAACAATTATACTAGTTGTTGTATTACTATTGTCACCACTATAAAAAAATAGGTTTAAAAGAAAAAAAAATGCCACAGAAGGCTGATGAAGATCTAATGAATAACAAGATGAATATCTGAATATAATTTTCCTATGCACTCAATGAAACACTCTTTATAAAATTAAATGTTTTACTAAGGTTGTTAAAAACCTGTAATTTTTCATCTTTTACATATAAAGAACTAAATGATAAGGAGAAAATGTTTATAAGTAAAAAAACAAAACAATAAACAAAACTTCTAAATTGAGTAATCTTCAATAAGATTCTTTTTAAATTACAAATGCAGGTATCAGTTATAGTATATTTGATAAGACAATTAAATTTCCAAAACAGGTCCACAAAGAGAGAAATTCAATTTCACAAAATTGAGTGATGAAACCTATTACTGTCAAAGTTATCCTAAATGAGAAGATTTATTCTTGCCTCACTTTCTATTCAAATATCCAATATAATCATCAAAATTGTGTGTATGGACATTTTCAGCTACTTTATTACTGACTCGACACATTGTTTTCAAGGATGATCATGCTTATCTAATTTTATCTAGGTTTATCAAGGTAAAAATGTTATTTGATGAAAAAACACCTATGGACACAAATACCTTTCCCCAATTTTTGTATTAGGGGAAAAAAAAAAACTGAACAAATTATAAAAATACAGGGTGGGGAAGCAAAATTAATGCAAAACAATATTGATAAAACTCACAATATCAAAACATTATTTTCAGTTACAACCCCTTGACCTTAACAAACTATACAAATCTTAACTACTTAATCCCAGGACATCTTAGCCCACTCCACTTTGATGGCAGTCATGAGGGTATTGATACATGGGTAGGAGTTCTTGTTGGTGGCCTGCTCCAAAATGCCCCACATACATGACATGGTCTAGTTGGTTTAGGTCCAGGTTGGCGGAAGTCTACTAGCCAGAAATCAACAAAGTGAAATTTGCAGAAATTCTTCATCTTCTTTGCTGTGTGGCTAGAAATGGCATCCAGGGTTCAAACCAGATGACTGTCTGGGTAATTAGCCTTGAGCCATGTTAAAACACAGTACTTCAGGAACCTGTAATAGGCCTCAGTACCGACCATTACTTCAAGTCTGTAGAAGAATGAGAGGATCTTTTACCCAATAGGAGGCTACAATACCAAAGACCTAAGCTGGATGTTTGATCCTGAATGCAGCCTTGATATCAACAAGACTTTGCAAGGAACTGATTCTTTCAGCATTTCAAAAAAGCATCATCAGAGAATGTTTTAAAAGTGGATTCTTGAGGTAATTGGACACTTTCTGGCATTCATTGACCTCAAGAGGAGTTGCCTTGGTATCTTGATGTATGATTTTAGGTCCAGTCATGCACAGCTATCCTGACAATCTTCGTATTCACTTTTACCTAAGCAGCTATCTTAGTCATGGATGCTGTTCAGTAGAGATGGACAGTTTAACTGAAGAAACAACTTTTTCAGTTTCATCTTTACATTGTGAAATCACATCAAAATGTTTTACAAAACCAAAATCATTTGGTTTAGTACTATCACTACTGAGTGACCATATCCAAAGAAACACTATTGAAAAAGACTTTCAGATGTTAATAAAATTAGAGTTTTACCAACATTTATACCATTGTAAGAGAAAAAGATTGAACAAAAATATGTTAAAAACATTTAACTGACTAGTTTTAGGAAATAAATGTGAAATCTATTTGTTTACAAAAGAAATGAAGAAGAAAAAAAAGGAAATATGACAGATATGACACTTGGAAATCATAGAATATTTTCAAAAAGGAAAAACAAGAAAAATATGGCATGATGTCTTTTTGTGGCAAAATTAAGTTAACACCAAAATATCAAATAAAAATAAAATAGTTGCCAGTTTCATCTTAATGTTAAATTTTATGAAGTCGGAGTTTTTGTAAGAAGGGTAATTGTTTTCTAGTAAGCCAGTATGCCAATCACGAAGTTGTTGAAAACAAGAAAAATGAATTAAGATTTTTTTTATAAATGAATTTGTTATTTTATCTAGGGAACACACCTAAATTAGATATTAAGAATAATTAAAATATTTCTTAATTTCACTTTCAAAATGTGTATATTTCCAGATATGCAAATCTCTAGTGTAAAATTGTTTGTTTTCTACAAATAAAATTATGTTTCTATCAAGCAAAGGCACCTAAAATTAGATATTAAAAAATAAAGTTAGTTTTAATCTCAGTTTTAAATTCTGTATATTTTCAAAACTGCAAGTCATTTTTTTTTTTAAACCCAAAGTAAAAATTATTCTTTTTTAGCCACTAGTGTTCAGTGGGTGTTCTGCCTATAAAATCCTTCTAAACAAGGAAAATTAATTCATTTTTACAAATATCTTTATGGTCTTATTTAGTGAATACAAAGATTATATATTAAAATGATTAAAATAGTTTTTTGTCTCTAAATAAAATAATTAATCACTTGAAAACAAGTGTCTGTCAGTGTCAGACAGTAGTTTTAATAATTTGAAAGTTCTTTTACCACACATTTATTACTATCAGTTGCTCTTTCTTTTCTTTTCTGTTTTTTGTTTTTTTCACTTACTTTATAATTTTTGAAGGAATTTGCTTCCACAAGTCAGAGAAGAAATGAAAATCTTCCTGGTTATAGTTTAAGTTGTCTTCTAATTGAGTGTACAATTTCAAGAATATTGATAAAGATTGGTCACTTTAATTTTGCAAAACAAAGTAGTGTGTAAAATTTAGTCTTGGAAAAAAAAAAAAAAATTACATTTTGCATTTTCGGCAGTTTGAAGTGAAATATCCTTTTTAACTCACTGTAAAAATAATTCAATGAATAAAAGCAAAATACAAATGACATATTTAGAAAGATTTTAGAAATAATTCAATGAATAAAAGCAAAATACAAATGACATATTTAGAAAGATTATTTTATTTTCTTTCCAGCTATATGAATATTTTTAAGATTAGACCAGAAATACATGAGAAATTGCGAGTTGAACAGACTAAGTTGCAAATTTATCAATCTGAAACAAAATCAGATATTGACTGGAAATGTTATCATTACACAAGAAAATGAATGGCTTCCTTAGAAAGCAAAAATAGTAAATTAAAACTGAATTGAAAACTGCAGTATAAAGGAAAAAAAAAACCAGAAACTAATACTGAAACAAATTGCCAAACTGACCAACTCTACTGTTCAGCCTTTTGCAATTTTGGTCTTGAGCGTGTTAAAGAAGTTTTAATTCTGCTTATTAACCATAGCATTGATTTTCTTCCTCTGGATGATAGACTACACATATCTACCATCTTCTTGATATTGTTTGACATTATGGCAGGACACATTGTTGGGCCTATTTTTAGATTTGAATTGTGTATGAAGCATGTTTGACACATTTTGCCATCTGTCCTTTTGTGAAGTGATTTTCCAAGATATTCCTGAAAAATAAGTGTATCTATTAATAGCTGACAGTATAATCCTTTATACAAAATAATTGCTTTTGTCTTTTATGAAACTGCAGACAAGAGATTACACTTTTGTCAGCACAACAATGGTCAAAATTAAAATGTCATCAAGTGTATATTGAACAAATTCTCTCCTGAATCAGTGGAAAACAAAAGAATCTGAAGATTATATTTTTAAATAATTACTTAGCATTGTAAGGCCACCAAAGATCTTAAGATCTTTAGGTTTTGTAACATTACAAAATTTTCACACAAACTTTTTCATCAATAAAAAGAAATTTAAGTTGGAATTTTTTTGATAAATTATCATTATTATTTAACTTTCTATTTGAACCAGTATATTTATCTAGGTTTCAGATATTGTTCCCTCCAGACGTCAATAACCTTGAGGTTTTTCATCACATAACTGATGACAAATTCTTTTTCATAAGACAAAAACAAAAGAAAAAGTTTGCAATGAGCTAATGACTTCTTGGTACTAAATGAGAATTTAAAAAGTGAAGAAATTTGGAGGATACAATGACCAAAATATAACAATGAAGATGAATGTGCAAAGTACAAATAGAAAAGCATATAATAAGGAAGAGGGACTTTGTTATAAGTTTTATAATGTTATACCCTACTGTAAATTAAATCTCTTTCTGATTCACTCTACATTTTGGCCGGATGTGAGCACTAAAAAAGAAGTCATCTTCTCTGCAGGGGTTTCAAACATCACATCCAACTCACAAAACAAAAATCTAAAATACAATATAAAAGAAACCAATCACAAACATTGCCACCAAATAAAAAAGGGAAGCCTGGGAGCCACCAGATTTGCTTTTAGAAAGCCCTTCAAAACTGCCTGACAAGAACAGCTGTAACTCTGCTCAGCTGGCTCTCAGCATCACCACTGTAATTTCAGTCAACAGACATATCTGCTTGAGACACACCCTCCTCTAAACTCTTACACCATGCCCACAGAGACATTCTGCTTGTACCCTCTGTGTCAGCAAAGTCAGATTCCAGACCTCTCTCGTCATCACAGCCATGACCTTGGTCAACAGACCCACAAAACACATCAACCCCAGGCCTTACCAAGACTCACCTTCTTTCAAATCACCTTCCTTACACATTCTTTGTAACAGCAAACAGGTTTGTGGCTTCACTATCAAACTCAAAGCCTCTCCAACCCAACAATAACACCCTTACAGCAAATTGCTTCGTTTACCAGACTTTCTGAAGGCATACATTTTCCCATTAGGATGGAAACGGTTAAACAATTTAACATCTGATATTCAGAAAAAGCATGAAATATCAAGAGTAAACTACATTAAGGACATTTCTGAAATTTTATAAAAATGGTGAGACAGGAATAAATTACAAACGAAGCTGAAAGTCACAATTTTTACTTCCATGATGAAATTAATATAAAAATAATTTAAAAAAAAAAAACAACAAAAATGATTCAATTTACTGTAACATGTTGGCAGAATTTTGAACCAGAAAACATAAAAATCAATGTATGTATATGTGTATGAGATCATGATTCTTTTACAATTCCCATATATCCTTTCCCTAAACAGCTTAGAAAGGAATTTATTCACATTTAAGGGGAAAATCAGTGGTGCATAATAATACTTGTCATAACAGTTTTATCTTGTATGTTTATAGGATTCTAAACTTGTTAGTAGAATTTTTTTCAAGTATTTTAAACTTTCCAAAAACTTCTTTTTTTTAAATTTGGCAATTGCATAGATAGCATTTTGATTATCTTCGACTTAGTATATGCAGACATTAACATATTTTGAAATTATCAAAATTACAAATTCAATCTAGAAAACAGAACCTATTTTATAAATACAATTTACCTGTTCCTCAGCAGTGGCATTTTTTGCTTCTAATTTAGGGTCTTTCAATTTGAGTATAATTTTCTTTTCATTGGCACAAGCTCGTTTTAACTCTGGATACACACTTGCACAGTTCTGAATTTCTGAGGAAAAAAAAAACAAAAACACATAATATAAGAAAATCAGATCCATGATATCAGTTAATTTATAGAACAAAACAAAATCATATCTGAAATTATTATGGTGATATTCAAATTACCACTCATAATACAAAACAAAAAATAAACTAGTCTTACAAGACAGGTCACTATTGCTTATATAGAAGAAAAAATAAAACCGTAACTTATTAGTTCTCAGGGTGTTGCAGCTTGTGACTTGTAATTATTTGTAGTGTAATAGAATAATAGCTTAACTATTAAAACAATTCTACTGTACAGCGGAAATCCTTATAGCAGGAAGTAACAAAATAAATAGTGACACTGAATGCAGTGAGCAAGCAAAAAACCAAACCAGCTCATATGGAGATCTGCATCTAGCAGGGGTGGGGTTGACTAGGATCTGGGTTTGGTTGTCTTCTACTCTAACTATGAACCTTTTCTAAATTTCCATGTATAATAATACATATACTCAAGTGGTTTTCCAAATTTGTGGTTGTCCAACCCCTTTTTGGGAGTGGTCAGAGGAATCAAGCCACTCACTCCTACTGACATTACATTTCGCCTCGTACCATTGCTCTATATAGGCAGTGCTAATCTCTCTGTTCTCTTCTCTTCCTTCTCCCACTTTCTCAACAGTCAACCTTATCTCAGTTTTCTGGGGCTGGAGTGATAAATCCAACTTCCAGAAATACTTTGTTATTTTTGCTTATTTTTCCTTTATTCTTTTTTGTTTGAATCAAACTTTTGATTTTCTCATTTTTTTTTTCAGTCTTCTTTCAGTTTTTTCTTTGGCTTCAGCTACCATTTGTATTTTTACAACAAAAGAAATATGATATGAGAAGACAGAAAAGATTAAAATCCTCAAAGCCAAGCTAGAGACCAACTTGAAATCTTCTCCATCTAAAAAGGTAGCTCACTTCTCAACCTCTACCCAGTCCCCCTGTTGCAAAATCATCGCAAAACCTTTCATCCACACACTCTTCCCCATGCTAAATAATTCCACTTAATAGAGATCTCAGCCTCTTCAGGAAAGCACCTCTCATACTCCATGTCCTAATCCCTGTCCTTTCTCCCAAAAAACACTCTGAAATGACACCACCTTCCAAACATCACAGAAGTCCCTTGGTAGAGGCAAAGGAGAAATAGAAAAAACCCAACAAACTGCCATACAGTTTAGAAGAGGATGTCTGCCACATTTCCCTGGCCCAAGCTGAAAGAGCCAAGAACTATAGAAACAGAATCAAAGAACTGAGATACCTTTTGTCCATAAGTCAGTATGCTGATAAAGATATCAAAATACCACAGAACTTTCCTGTAGTGCAGCATGTTCTGACAGTCATTCAAACTGAGTTAGAGACACGGCAGACGTGGGGTATGGTCAAGGAGGCCATAAAATCATTTAACATGTCACCCCCATCAATTGCCATCATTGAAAGTAAAGAAACAAAGAAGTTGAAGAAATTCTGTTCAGGGAAGATCCCAATTTTAATTCATCCCTCCTTCTATAGGGCTTTAAATCTTACTTATTCTCAGGATATTGGCAGTCTCTCTCATGACAGCACTATCAAGAGATGGGCCAGGGGTCAATGGTGGAGGCTGTGGGTATCTTTTCCCCAACCATGTTCAAGCCAGTTTCCCAACCCTAATCAAACTGATAATGGCTCTCTGGTTAGCAAATTTGAATGTCCGGTGCCTGAGGTTGGAATCTCGCAGGTCAAGGGTTTGCTCGCAATCTTCAGCATCTCGGGGTTGATGTAGGTTGTTTGCAAGATACTCGGTGTCTGGTTCAGTCCCAATTTCCTCTTCACTGCAGTGGGTCATGCTTTCTTCTACTGCAGGGTCATAGGTCTGTTGTGCAAGTTTCTTGAAGACATCATGGGTCACATGCTGTGTGGAAAGTTCTTTGTCCTCAAGGTCAGTTGTGTTTGTAGTAATGTCATATCACCGATGTCTAAGGCTGAGCACTATGTGTTCTTTTGCTTACTAGGCATTATGCAAGTCGTGATATGGACAACCCCACAGAAAGGGGCGAGAAGTTTACCTCTTCCCAACTAATTTTATTCTTTAAGCATCAGCTTAAAGTCAAGATTAGGATGGAAAGTAAACAACTCCATCCATCAGAATTTGGCAAAAGGTGGGTGTATCTTCTGTGTTTGGGCCAAGTAAATGGTGCTGAGTGGTGTTGTGATGCTGGTTAGGCATAAAGGATGTTGGGAATTGTTAGAGTGAACATTGGCAATCCTGTCCAAAATAGGAGTCTAGTTAGGACTTCATAGAGTCTCTGAGATATTATGGTGGATGTAATAAGTATGATAAGTAAGAATATGTTGTTTTTGGTGCAAGGGTTATTGTAGCACATTTGGGTCAGTGATTGTGGTAGCTAAGAATAAGACAGATGAAGATCAGCCCTCCCCCTCCCCAATTTTTGGCCTTGTGCTACACTTGTACTTTGTGCAATAAATATTCTTCCATTACAAAAAGAACAAGTCATCTCTCAATACACCAACTGACCTGACCATGTAAGTTAAGATAAATTCTTACGTAAATAAATTACTAATTTGCAATACAGAAAAATACAAACTAAAACAAATGGGTAAATCAGGTTATAAAAGGGAAAAAAAGAAAACATTTTTAAATGTATTGAGCCATAAAAAGTATCTTTTTCACTAATGAAGCAACTTTGCATGGTATCCTCCCTTTATCTGCAAAGAACTCCAGAAATAAACACTCCACTTAATGATGACCACAAAATGAAAAAGTAACACTGGCAATTCAATTATCACAAAGAGAAACCATAAAGTTCTTTTTTTTTTAAGTGAAAGGTTGAAAGTTCATAAATTCATAAGGAAAAGGAAAAAAATATCATATATTGAGGCTGCCAAGATTTATAAGAACAAATTTATTTGTTGAACAACATTTATTACAGTATACTGTTATTATTGTTAATCTCATGGCAAGTTTATATGCATAAAAAAAAAAGCATTATATATATATATATATATATATATATAGGGTTTTAGGCATTTGATCGGAGTCTTGGATCATATCCCTAGCAAATATTCTGTGTGCAGGTGGGAAGGGTTACTGTCCAAATAAAAAGGAATTTTGAAGTTATTCTAACTAATCTTTAAATTTCAAATTTTATAAACATTGGTAACAAAAAAGTTAAAATAGTAAATGTACAGAGAAACATTTACAAACACTAAAACTAGGCACAAATTTCTAATACATTCATATGTAGACATAATTTCATAAAAAGTGTAAAATGAAATGAAGACAGAATTTATGATGTTTAATGATGGTAAATAATAGCAGTATGCAAATGATTTTGTTTGTTCTGCTTAGTAACAATCTTATATTAAGTTATAATTAAAATATCCTTGATTTTCTATATTTTATAAAAAAAATGGTATCAGTTATAAGTAGAAAGAATAATAGTACAAATACTTTTTAATATTTTTAAAATCATGAACTGGAAGAGTTAATGAATTAGTTCTATTGTTATTGTTATAAAATATATTTTATTTCATCCCAGGAATTAAGCCAGAGTGTAAAGACTTCTTTCTTAACAGAAAAGATGAAACTTTTTAAATACTTTCTTACAAATGTATATACCATAAATGTATTTTTAAAATAATTTAGAAATTATGATTTTACTTTTTGTAAATTTTGTTACAAGAGCTTAGCAAGCAAATTAAAAATTTGAACATTTTTTAAATATTGAAATAATTTTATTATATCATCCACTTATTAACTGCTAAACAAAAATTATTAATAGAAAAACATCTAATAATAAAAATCATGAAACTGATATTAGAAAGAACAATTTATTTGGTTTTCTTCAGATTATATTTCAAAATTCTCACATTTTTGATAATTTCAAAGAGACATTCATACAGTCAACTAAAAATTTAAATAGTTAATTATTTTTTTAGAAAGAATTTCAAATTTGCAATTTATTAACATTTTTTCTTTTTAAATTTGTATACTTATGGAAGTTTTCTTAATTTAAATTGATCTTTTACATTTAAAAATACTTGATATTAAATACAATGGTTAATTCTGACATTTTTGATAAATATATTTGTCCTTTTGCTTCTAAAATATGAAAAACACAAAAAATTGTGACCAAGATTATTTTGTATGATGAATCAATAGTCAATGAGACTTATATTAATGACTACAAGAAAGCAATATAATTTTTGTACCAAAAGACCAAGTTGAAAATTAACACCTATTTTGAAAAATTGGATTAAGTAAATCTGAATTTATAAGGAAAGATTTAAGCAAACTTCTTAGAATAATAAATGTATAAAGATTTAGATAGTTTAAGATTCATTCATAGCAGTGTATGATTTAAATAAGTCCAGTGTATGATAGTAAATAACTGTTCAGAAACACTCATTGTAGTGGAATCTTAAAAAAAAAGATATCAAACTAATGGCTATAAAGTTTATCCTTTAATATAATTGTATTATTTAATTAGAAAAATACTGACATTAGGTAATAAAGCACTATTATGAATAAAGAAGTAAAATAAAATGTTACCAACAAATAAGATGCAAACATAGAAAGATATACAGTCCTATTTCTATATATTCTGCTACAAAAAGCAACAATATTACCTGCTCTAGTATTAGATTTGATGAGTTCAGTAAGAGAATAACTTGATACATCTTCATGTATATTATCAGGGTTACCAATCCGAACAACTTTCAAGGGTTCTCTGGATTCAGCTGAACATAGAAAATAAACAGAAAGTGAATCATCCTGAAAAAAAGCTAATAATTACTATTAATGGTACTGAAGAAAACACAGATTTAAAAAAAAAAGAATGTAGTTGAATTTAGCATAGTAGACAGAAAAACAAACATTAGCTACACTAAAAATGGAATGTGTCTTAGCTAAAACATTCATCAATACGTGATTATTGAATTTTTAAGAAATTAAAAATAAACTTTGAGATTTAAAATATTTTACATTTTTGCATACTCTATCAATTAGGAGCTCATTAGTGCAACAAACCAGTGTGGATTTTACAAGTAAATGAATCTACACATAGTGGCCTATTGGAGTGGGGTCATATTGTTAAGTTATCTTTAAGTTAATGTGAAAAACCTAGAAAGTAAAGCTAGATAATTTACATTTTACTGGTATACCAGAAGTAGCCTGGTCTACTTAAAGTAGAATTCTCAATCTTGAACATACACAGGATTTTAATTCATGTAAATATAAAAAAAGAAAAATTGAGGTGATAAAGGCATTGCCTGAACTTTGGACAGTGGGAGAGGTAAGACAATTCATATGTGATTGGTTACTTCAGAAGGTTCATTTCAGTCTTCTCAAAGATAACCACACTCTTCACCAAATTTGCACACTTTTAGTGGATAGAAAGTTGTCAGAAATCCTTTGACACTTTAAAGGAACAGCTGACTGCAGTTCCTTTGGTATTTTACCTGGATTTGAGCAAGCCATTGGTGTTAAGTGACTAGTAGGTAAGGGTTTCCCTTACCCAACTCTGTCCAGAGAAAAATGAACCTGTACCAAGTATCCTTGAAGAGATACTAGTATATTTTTTGTCTTGCAGACTCTTCCCAACCCAGCATGATGGAGTTCATAATAGAGAAGGAAACATGCAAGATATTGCATTCCAAAATTTGGAATGCACTATTTGAGTGAATCAATCTTTGCAATTAAGACAGATCATAAGCCACTGCAGTAGTGGACCGGACAAAGAAAATGATTCAACAGTTGGCTTTAAAGTTGAGTGTAGAATAAAAATACCTATTGAGAAAGGAGAACACCTATGCTAATCTACTTTTACATATAGAAGCTGAAGTGGAACTCAGTGAAGATAACATGGGGATTTTTTTTATAGAGACTCTCAGGTCAATGTGATCAATTTACATAAATTATGTGAGTGGGCGGATTTAGAAGTTAACTGATGCAATCAGAATTATTGGAGGAATCCTAAGCAAATCAAGTACTGAAGACATCAAAAAGAAGCAAAGAGGAATAGAAAACTGACAGGATTGCAGTTAGTTAATTATCATATAGTAGATGGGATAGTGTATTATGTATCTTGCAGGGATGAAGAGATTAGCTGGTTGTCAATTGTAGGAGCTAAAGGTATTATGAGTCAAGTCACATAAGTGTTATGAAGAAATGAGGTATGTAGAGATGGACAAGACATAGGAATTAACAGAAAGAAAAATATTGTTGGCCAGAATTGTACTGAGGAGCAACACCATATATACAAGATTGTTAAACAAGAAATAATAAACTGGGTGCAGCTATCCACCCCAAATGAAAACAGATATTCCACAATACTCTCTTTAGAAGATTAGCATGGACTAGACAGTCTGCATAGTGAGACAACCTATGGAAACACACACACACACACACACACACACACACACAGGGTTAATCATAGAGATTTTCCCAAGGTATATGGTGTGCACAAAAGTAGGAGAGAAAACCAGACAAATATCATTGGAAATAGAAATAGAGCAAAGCAATTTGTGTATGTCATCAACCAGTACTGAAGAACAATTGTGATTCCTGACTTGAAATTGCTGAAAAAAAAAAAAAACAAAAAAAAACAAAATGGAAAAAACAGTGCTGACCGCTTAATAAAGAAAACCAGCTTTTGTATGAACATTAGCTAAAGAACAAATTGTATTATGAACAGTATTTAAAAAAAAAGAAAAAAATGAGAGAGATGGAAGAAAGAAAATTAAAACGTACAATTGGTAATTTGACAAACTAGTAAAACACATGCTGAATATTGAAGAGATGGAAAAAAAGATTTTTTTAGCAAAAGAAAAATGAGCTTTTCTTAGTGTGTATGAATTCATTCTTTCTGAAGATTGTGAACTTTATGTATGGAATTATTTTGAAGGAGTTAAGGTGCTATGGTTTTAATTTACCAAGTAGAGTTTGGTTTGTTTTGGTTTATTTAGTTTAACGGTATATCAACCTCAGTGTTATTTAATGCTAACAATATTTTTCTGATAGGTTCATATGAATAGAGTATGTCTTCTTTATAAGAATTCATTTTGTAGCTCAGTTTGACATATTTTATAAAGAGGGATTTAGTCGAGAGTCAAATGTATTGCTGGTAATCATTTTCTTCAAAAATGTATTGATGGAAATAATTTTTCCTTCCAAAAAAGGTTACAAAATCATGTAAGTAAGCAGATTTAGTAAACTGTTTTTTTTTTATATATTTTCATGTAGAATCTAATTTCTTCAATTAAATTTATGATGTTACTTGGATTGATATTTTCAAAAACATCCTTTAAGTTATCTGATTCCTTGTCTACCAATATGGCTCAGTATCCAACATAGGACTATTACAGCATCTTTTTCCTTGTAAATAGAGTCAAACCTATTTAATAATTTATTTATTAAGGGGGTTTCCTATGTTTTTATTCTTCAGAGCTGTCAGTACAGATAGTGAATCTGAGAAGATTATGAATCTATCTGACCCACTGGATTCTATAATATCTAAAGCCAAGTGTATGGCTGAGGCTTCTGCACTGAAGATTGAGGCTTTGTCAGGCAATCTTTTCTGCATTGTTATGTTGTTAAATCTTTTCTGCATTGTTATGTTGTTAAGAAGAGTCTAAGATTTTAGAGCATCAGTGTATATATGTTTATGATTTGGGTGAGTTTGTAGAACATTATGGATTTCTTCCATGTAATCAGATAAGTTAGAATCAGTTTTAGAGAATTTAGTAAGGTTTAGCAAAATCATAGGGTACTTCATTAACCAGGGTGCATTTTTTGAGTTGGTGGTTTTAAGAATTAGTGTTGGCTTTATTTGTTTCACTGATGAGATTTTTCATGTAAAAGGCAAAAAGTTTGATAGCATTTTCTTTTTTATCAAACAGAAATTTGTATTTAGGGTTGAAGGTACATTTGTAGATAGGGTTAGATGGGAAGGATCTGAGTTTTGGATAAGATTGTAATGCCAGTTTTTCACGTCTCAATTTTAATTGTACCTCATGAGCTTTAGCATATAAACTTTCTATGGGTGATGTTTTGAAGGCACCCAAAGCCAGTCTTAATCCTGTATGGTGTATGGGATCAAGGGTTTTTAGATAGGATTTCTGGGTCAAACCATATATGAAATAGCCATAGTCCAGTTTAGATCTTATTAGAACTCTATATAATTTTAGGAGTGATATGCAATCTGCTCCTCAGTTAGTGTTAGCCACAACCCATAGTAATTGTAATGATTTGAAGCATTTCTGTTATTTTAATTGATTTTTAATGTATAAAGGATTTGAGGACCATATATGGATATGATCATCTTTTTTCACATGTTAGTTTTTATGTTGGGTCATTTGGCAACTTTTTGGCTTATGACCTAAAATGTATCAGCTTTTTATATTTTTAACATCACTTTGCAATATTTCTATCTTGACCTTCATTTTCACTTTCTGTTTCAGAAGTTTCATGTTGTCTCTTGGATTGTTTATAACAGACAGTCATATAATCTTGAATTTTGTATTCACCGTCTGTGTTCCCTACCCACTTCAGACTTCCTTCTTAAGGGATGCTACCAGGGGGGACTAATCCCATTTGCCCTGATCTGCCAAGGCTATGCAGACAGTATAGTTGTGATGAGAATGGATACGCATCCCACCCACCACCATATCTACCCAAGTATAGTATGGTGTAAGGATACACAGCCATTATCTATCATCCCAAGTAGCCCTTGCCACTATGTGACTAGACGACTGGAATGAATTGGGCTATTCCATCCAACCATCTATCCCAGGTAGGGACCAAAGTGATGTGTTGTGGACACTCCTGATCATTTTATAACAGATCAGGATTGACTCAGTCACCAGGACTATCCCCAGGCATCAAAGGTCACCATCCACGGTAAACAGGTGGCCCCATTAAGGGGAATTTGTAATTTTTGGGAATCGGTTTTTGTGAATATGCATTTTATATATTGCAATTTGTATTGCTGGTATTTTTGTTATAAAAACCCATCTTTACACTTAGTATTCAGACTCCAGTTTCGGGTAAGGGGAAACTATTTACCCATAGCTGGGACCCTAACAGGTTCTACCACCCTGGATTAGGGTGGACCTGGGAATAACATCAATTAAGACTTGTTTCCACACTCCTCAAAACCTCCCAATCAGTGCCTTTGCTGTTGGATGAAGTTTATCGTCATAAAGCAGGATGCTTACCAGGTTAGACTTTATTAAACTCAAGTTTATTGGTTAATAAATATTTTTCCCCAATTTTTAAATATTTAATTTTAGGAGAGAAAACATTGCTGATCATATCCTAGAGAGAGATTTCATAGCAGACAACAAATAATTGTCAGAAAATTCGAAAGCCTACAGCGTGTTTGTGATAACATTGCTGATTGGTTAATAGATATGAATAGAGAGATTCAAATCTGGAGCCTACAAAATGTATAAAAATGAGTCAACTTCTGTGTGAGCTAGTTTTGTACAAAAAATTTGTTTCAAATCAGAAAACAACGGAGAGTGTGACATATATATATATATATATATATATATATATATATATATATATTTAAATAGGTTTGAAACGGTACAAAAAAGCGTATTAAGGCATTAAAAACAAGAAATGTTGTATTGTAGGCCATGATAAGTTTAAAATAAAACACACACAGTCGACCGGTTTCGTCCCCTCTCGTCAGAACTGTTAACGGGGAATTTAAATTATGAGGAAAAGAAAAAAG